ACGCTCTTTTCAACTTCTACAAGAAAACGATCGATTTAAACGCGTTTTTAGGTAAAGGACACGCGAGAATACATTATTCTATTAATTTCTAATTCATTTTCAATTACGTGCATTTAATGGATATCGAAAATTTAATCTCTCACATAATTTATACCGTTTCAGTGTTTTGTCGAGCTGGTCTCATTTTCGATGGTTCATTAGTAATAGACCCAGAATATCGCACCAACGATCCGTTTATTTTTGCCGCTGGTACCGTAACGAAATATTCCCGAAAATTTTATGCTGACGTCTGGCAGCACAAATATTACAATAGCATGGAAGTTGGAGAGAGAGTTAGTAGAAAAGAGATTCTTTTTTTTTTAAGGAGATGTATAGTATCTTTTTCAATCAAACTCATCTTTTTCAAACTAAACTAGTTATCTTTTTGTTATCAAACTCGTAATACATTTTTATTTCTTACCATCCCTCGCTGTGCATTGGAAGCTCGCTCAAATTTTATGGAAAGTGATCGAGTGGGACATGCAAGTTCCCGAGCGAATATCAAAAAAGAAAGAGAAGATCATGTATTTGACACCATCGACATTCCGTGCACCTATCGTAACCACTTGCATTCTGCCAGGTGATTATCATTACTTGCATGTACGTAAACCCGGAAAAGCAACTTGGGATAATACGACGAAGATTAATCACAACGTGAGTTAACGCTTCAAATCGGTTTTTGTATCGAAATGCAAATAATGTTATTTGAAGAGGTTCTTTGTTATGGCTTTCTCTCTTTTTTTTTCTTTCGATCTGTGTAAGACGTAAGTCGTTGCATTAATGTTGATTTTTTTCGTGTATTATTTGTAACCGGTTCTTGCGAATCTGAAATTGGATATTTTCGTATCCGATTGAATATGTACGACGCTGTGGAAAGTGTAACTTGCGCAAGCAAAAAGGTAATTCCGAAACTAATTAGACAAACAATACTCAACAATTGTTCTAGAGAAATTTTATATGTCACGCGATATTCGTCTTGCGATTCGGAACAGACGCTACTTCGTCTTAACGTAATGACAATTCATTAAATAAAAGAAGGGCTACGAGCCAATTATAATGTAAAATATTTAATAATTTAAAATTCGTACATACAAACTTTTCGACATCGATCGGGTCATTTTCAATGTAAAACAACAAACAATATTACATAAATTATCGGAAAATT